GGGTTGTCGTACACCACGCAACTCGTCGTTTGAAAGCTGATTTTTGGCTTGCTCGCTACGCGCGGCGGTAAGAGAGTACTCATAGTAGATAATCAAGCTCTGTGTTCCCTCCTACGCATGGTTCGGTCTACCAATGGCTTGCCCAGGGCTAGACACTCCTCGATTCGACGATATGAGCCCACTCGGACGTCAAACAGGTGTTGTTACCTAGTACTGCCCTGCTAGAGGGCATCTACCGTGGGTAGAGGGCAGCAGCAGCAACATGTGACGTTTTCCTCGACCACAGCTGCAAAGTGTCGATCACGTCAATCAAACACGGTATCTCACGCGGTATGTAGCTGTTTGAACGCGATGCATGCGCATATCGTGGAGGCAGGCGGCGACGCGATCGATGGATTTGGTTGTTTAGCTTTCGAATCGAACATGTGTTGAAAGCAAGGCCACACCTTTCTATCGTTCGACGCTACCTCGGTCGTCCACAGAGTGCTTCATTCTTTGAGGTCGCGCGTCGACGCTTGGGCATGCTGACAACCCGCCGACTGGACCACGGGTCAAGTGCGACGATGCAAGGCGGCCTTCTCGCGTTCGCTGGTGTCATTTTACTTGTGCTGCTGTGGGCGATCCTACTCATGTGTCGGTCGTTCTGGAGGCACCGACGCGCGCAGATGGCCTCCACCAAGATGCCACCCGCCAACTTGGACCGGGAGCTGCCTCCCATCATCGTCTAGAGACTCCACAAAAGGATCAAGCAAACTACGCACGGCGCTTTACAGCTTATAACGTGTGGCGGACGGACCGACAAAACGAGCTAATATATTTGCACCACATGCGTACATAAGCGCAGGACGAGTGTTTTTGTGCAATCAAATGTTGCCAACAACATAAATGTTGGGAGGACTGCGTCGGTTCTGTCGTACACATACCAAATCAAGTCACGTTGAGAAAGAAGACAGTGAATGCTACTGATTTCTTCAAAACCAGCACACTTTGTCTGATAATACATGGGTGTGCAGGGTAAATGAATGAAGCAAGCCGCGTAGTACTAGATATGTACCTCACGAGCCAGCACTCGACCTCAAACGCGCACATTTGGCGGTAGTTCGGCTCGATCCGAGATGGGCCGAGCTCAATATGGCTATATGTGTCTATATATGGTACACGCCACAAATAATAATATAAGCAGTATCCCAGGCTGTGCGGCTCGCACGCCGACGTGAGCTCATGCATCGTGCTCTCCAAAGTGTCATCCAAATACATGCCAAGTTTCGACCCTTTTGATTTTCAACGTGATTGGGTTGACAAGCTGCCATCGCGCCGCGCTCACCGCTCTCGCATCCTTTCGGATTGGTTGAAATTAGAATGAATATAGACCAATGGGTGAATTAAACAAATATATTCTGTTGCATAGTACAATCCAGTACACGTGATTGCATCTCGCGTGCCAGGAAAACGCGCACTCTGTTTTAGGCAGTGCTTAAATTCTGTCTCAAGCAGCGTTTCCCTGCATTTGGGTGTATCTAGTCCGCACCCCCAAATGTACGTCAAGGGCGCCCAGTAAAGTCCGGATGATAGCCGCACCTGCCCTATCGGCCGGTCAAATTCGGTTGGTATTTTTTTG